GAGCCTGTCTTCGACTTCCGCTTCGACATCACACGCGATGCACCGAAACGACCGAAAACGTGAACAAACGCGTAGCACTATTAATATCACTGGCACTAAGCGAGCGAAACAAACATCCGACTGTACTGCACAACAGTCTGTTTTGTGCGTGCGTTCGTTTTCATAGTTTTCGGTTGTATTTGCCGGATTAGTGCTGGCGCTTTGCCTCCCGGACGGTTATACGTGTGTGATTGGAAGAAGAAGAAGAAGAAGAAGAAGGAAATTTTCTCGAGTGATTTTCTACGGTCATAAGCTAAAGGTATAAAAAAGGAAACGTCCGAATGTGGCTGTATAACAATTATTCACAAGCATTCTTCTAGGTTAATTTAAGAATAGTTTGGTAATGATAAATCTTCCTAATATTCACATTACAGTTATGACCCGATCCTGTCAGTCTCTCCACGCATCAGACTGTTATTTTTCAGTAACTCTACATAATTGTGATTTCATATCTTCCTCCTTCAAGATGGATGTTTAAGATTGTAGCAGGTTGAGCCTACATGGATCGATCGAACAGACTTCCTTTGGAGAAGGGCTTTCTTTGATATGCGGTATCCAAACTATGGTAGACTCTAAACAGAGTATCTACCAGTGAGGACCGCAGTGTAAAGAGTTTGACTGCTGATCGATAATTGTCACGTATATTATGAAATATTTGGTTTATATAGCATTTACATGTTCTTGCTTATCCTAGTTAGTCTACATGTAAGAACGAGACGACTGGAGTGCCGATACCCAAAATATGCATCTTTGCCAGGTCTGCATTTTTGGTGACTTGGTGGTCCTACCCGACTGCGCAACATGACACCTTGCGTTGGCACTTCGGTATAGGCCTCACGCGGGGAGAGGAAAGTGGAAATGAAATAACTCTAACGCTGTGGCGCAATCGCCGCATATGGTTGCAATTGCATTCTATGTAATTTGAATCTATGAACTTTGTTCGGATTGAAGTTAATGACTTTGTTTGTTTACGATATGGTTATTGTCGTGGTTATTTGTAGGGATGCACATGACACCTTCCCTTTTTGGGAGAATGGTGTAATGAAATGAAATGAAATGTAACCATTCTAAATTTTGTGACTACTCCAGATGTCTCTATATAAATTTGATTTTGTTTTATAATTATGTTATAATGGTTTTACGACAATTTATTTAACTAACCGAGTTTCGCACTCCTCAGTATAAAACTGGGAACTTTCACCTGTTTCAATTTTCGTTATAAATTTTTTTTTTTTGATTTTCATTTTTTTTTTTTTTTGAAACTAGGCTCGGTGGATTCTTTACTAAATTGTCTTACAAATATTTTTTTTTTTTGATTATATGAGATATTTAAACTATTAATCTATTTTTATGTACGATTTGATTTTCATTTGTTATTTGGTTTTTAATTATTGCGTTTGGATGTTGAATATCAATTATTGTAAATGGTCCTGTGTATACTGAATCTAGTTTTCTACGGTTTTCCTTTTTTAACCATACTTTATCTCCTATTTGAATTTCTATTGGATTTGAATATTCTGCTTGATTTGATATTCTTTTCTCTTTTGTTTTGTCTAATAACATTTTTGCTCTTTGATTTGCTATTTGTAATTTGTATTTTAGTTCTTTAAAGTATGCTTCGTAATTGTAGATTGGATCAATTTCAGTTCCTAGTTTTAGTTTTGTTGGATAGTTTGCTTGTGTACCAAAGATAAGTTCAAAAGGTGTGAAAGTATGTTCTGTATGTGGCGTTGTATTGTAAAAGAAAGTGAAAAATGGTAACCATGAGTCCCAATCATCATGTTGCTCATTGATGAATTGCCTAAGGTATTCATTCAAACAACGATGACTTCGCTCGAGAGCTCCTATGGTTTCTGGATGATAAGCTGTTCCAAATTTTTGGTTTATTGAAAGAATAGTACATATTTGCTGGAACACTTCATTTTTATACTCAGTGCCCATATCTGATTTGATTGCTATAGGACAACCATAGATTAAAATGAAATTTTCAACGAATGCTTTTGCTAAAGTATTAGCTTGCTTATCTACTAATGGTATTGCTATAATATACTTCGTTAAGTCACATTGTATTGTCAATGCGTAACGATTTCCTTTCGTTGATCTCGTTATTGGACCAACGGTATCCATTGAAATTAATTCAAATGGTTTTGCTGGTGTTGTAGTTTTTTTCGAATATTTCTTTAGTCTTAATTCTGTGTTTATTTTGTCTACATGAAATACAGTTTTTAACATATTTGCTTATACTGTCTTTCATATTAGACCAATGATAATTTCTTCTTAGTTTTTGTAATAATTTGTTAATACCTACGTGTCCTCCCGAAGGGGTATCGTGGTTTTCTTTGATAAGATTATTTATTTCATCTGTATCTTTTATTATCTTTGCTGGTGTGTATAGTATTATTATGACGTCATTTAAAATTTCATTGCATACTTCTTTAAACTGTTCCCGGGAAACATAATTAAATATTGGATCCATTACACTGATCGCAATTTTCTTTATACACATCGTTTTGGCCATATTATTTATCGTTTGTATGCATTTTTCTAAGTAAATAATTCCCTTTTCATGGAATAGTTGCGCTTGAGCAATAATTCCTTTCAGGTTTTTATTTTTGATTATAATGTTTAAATGGTCGAGTTTTGGTTCAAATATAACTTTCTGTAAATTGAAAGCATCAATATTGTTAATTGAATCATAAGCTTTAAGTTGATCAATCTTAGTGGCTTTAGATTCGTTAACTGGGGTTTGTGTCATTTTTCGAGTTTTAGATCTTGTCTGCATTGGTAAAATTGACATGTTTTTAAGAACTTCAGAATCGATAATGACACGGGAGAGAGCGTCGGGCCCAACATTGTCTTTTCCTTTAACGTGTTCGATATCGAAATTGAATTCCTCTAAATCTAGTCGCATTCTAGTCAATTTTGACGAGGGATCCTTCATAGAGAAGAGATGTACAAGGGGGTTGTGGTCTGTCTTCACTGTAAATTTCCGTCCATAGAGATAAGGTCTAAAGTGCGATATTGCCCAGTGTATTGCTGTAAGTTCTTGTTCTATTGTCGATTTGTTACTTTCTCCTTTCGTAAATTTCTTGCTGGCATAAGCTATGGGTAGTCTAATGCCGTCGTAATCCTGTTCTAGTACAGCACCGCAAGCTAGTTTTGAAGCATCTGTACTAAGAATAAAAGGTTTTCTAAAATCTGGGAATTGAAGTATTTTAGGGCTAAGAAGTTCATTTTTCAAAGTTTCGAAAGACTGTTGGCATTCTTGTGACCAGTCAAATTTAGCCTTTTTATGAAGTAAAGCGTTAAGTGGAGCTGCTTTGTCTGAAAAGTATGGAATAAATCTTCGATAGTAATTACAAAATGCGACAAATCTTCTGACGTCATCTGCATTTTGTGGTTGTGGATAATTGAGTATGGTTGAGTATTTAGTTTTATCGGGTTGAATGCCTTGAGCTGAAATGTGGTGACCTAAATATGTGACGTCTGCACAAAAGAATTTACATTTGGCTGGATTTAATTTGAGGTTGTGTTTTCTTAGATTTTGAAAAACTTTTTCTAGATTGTTTAAATGATGGTTGATAGAACATCCGACGATAATTATATCATCGATGTATAAGAATGCACATTCTGGCGGTAGTCCACTAAGGGCTATCGTCATCATGCGTTGAAAACTGTTGGGTGAAATATTTAGTCCAAAAGGTAGTCGGTTGAACTCGTAATGACCAGAGTTCGTAGAGAAAGCTGTGTATTGTTTTGAGTTTTCCTCTAACTCGATTTGATGAAATCCTGACATTAGATCGAGCGTTGAAAAATATTTAGCTCGACCTAGTTGGTCAAGGATATCGTCAATTCGCGGTAGTGGGAACTTGTCTGCTATTACTTTTTTATTTAGTTGTCTGAAATCTACTACGAGACGCCATTTTTTGTCATTGTCAGTGGATTTCTTGGGGACTAGCAATACTGGGGAATTGTAAGGAGATGTTGAATGTTGGATTATTTTTTCGTCTAGCATTTTTGTCACATGCTTGTCTATTTCTGTCTTATGAACTTCTGGTATTCTGTAATTTTTGATATATACTGGATTTGGGTCATTTAAATGTATATTTTGTTTATAAAAATTGTTACAAGTCAGGATGTCAGTTTGAAGCGCAAATAGGTCGTTGTATTTTGTACATAAGTCTTTTAATTTGTCTTTTACGTAGTATGGTGTATTTGTCAAATCTAGTTCCGCTAAACATTTTTCTTGTCTGTTCTTTTGGTTTGTTTGGTTGAATTGAAATACATTGTAATTTTGTAGAGGTTGTATTAGGTCATGGAAATTTTTCCGAATTTTAACTGTATGGTTTGTTGTGTTAATTAATCTGATCAATGAATTGTTTGAATTTATTATTGAGTTTGCACAGAATACTCCAGGTTGGATTTCTTTAGATGTGATTACGTAGTCTTGATGAGGGTTTTGTATGGTAATTTGTCTATAAACTTCGCAACGTGGTGGTATCAGTGTATCACCGTTTAAATTATCTTGGATTGGAATTTCAATTAATTTGGAATTTATGAAGCTGGATAAAGTCCATGTGTCATAGTCAATTACACAACGAAATTTAGTCAGAAAATCTCTTCCTAAAATTCCGTCTGTGGGTATTGGTAAGTTTTCGGGTATAATGTGGAATTGATGTGAAACATTGCATTCATAGGGTAAATGTAAAGGAACGTTGATCGTTCCGAGTGTATCAATGGCTTGATGTTGTATTCCAGTAATCGAACAAATTTGTTGAGTGTCAATGTGTATCGCCTGCTTCAATTTTGTGGGTTTCAACACTGAAATTTCAGCTCCTGAATCTACGAGAAAAGTACATTCGGAGTGTGATGATTCAGTTTTCAAAATCACAAAATTGGAAAACGCAGTCGTGATATTAAAAATACCTTTTATTGTCTTGGATGTTGCATGTTTGCTAAAGCTATTTGGAATTGTTGTTGTTGTTGTTGAGGCTGCTGTCGAGGTGATTGCTGCTGAGTTGCAATCGGCATGATTTGTTGGCCCCCAACTTCTGGTTGGGGGACCTGCGGGTTTTCCGAGATGTAGTAATAAACACCTCGGCTTCCAGGTCCCGAATTGTTATAAAACCCTCTTCCTCTGTTATTGAATCGAGGGAAATTTCCGCGATTACTTTGAAAATTTTGGAAATTTCCTCTGTTTTGGTGGAAATTTCCTCGGTGATTTTGGAAATTTCCGCGATGATTTTGGGAATTACCACGGTAATTTTGGAAATTTCCGCGGTTGGATTGGTAGTTATTATTATTATAGTTATTGGAGGAACCACGTCCTCTTTGGAAATTTCTGCTTTGAATCGAAAAAACATTAGCAGTGTTGGTTTGTTTCTCGGCTTCGTTTTCGGACGCCTTTTCTACTGCCTTGGACAAGGTAGCAAACTGTCCTGCTTTAAGCAATAACTTTGTTTCCTCGTTTTTTACACCACTTATTAGTGCTTTGATGCCGGTACATGTGGCAAGTTTAGAGGCTGTCTCTAGTGGGACATTTTCCTCTATATACGCTCGTTCAAGATCAAGCGTGAGTTTCTCGATTTCTTCAGTAAATTTTCCGAAATTTTCTTTCTGTTTAATTGCGCCCAATTTCGCAATAATAGTATTTGGTGCTGTTGAATGACTGCACTTAAGTTTTAGCTTATTAATTATTTCATCAATGCTTTCGGGATTTTCCGTTACTGCAGCGCGAGCTTTGCCTTCCAGTTTTGAAAGAATAGTCTGTATGGCTACTGCTTTATTGTTTTCGTTTACTAATGCTTTGCATGCATTAAGCGCTGACAATACATTAGCTAATTTATTTTGTGTACCATCAAATGTTGGAACTAAGGTTGAAATAACCTTTATTATTTCTAATATAGACGCCATTTTTACAGGTTTTGATACTTTTATACAAAATAAAACGCAGTGTACTGCGGCTTTGAATTTGAAGTTATCTTTGATATTTTTCAATTTGAATGTGATCAATTCCTTCAGATCATTATATAATTGTCGGCTTAATTTAATGTTAAATTCTAATTTAGTGCCATCTAAATAGCTTTCATTTTTGACTTGTAAATCTACGATTAATTTGTAAGTTTTTTCTACCAAATTTAATTTATTTGCTAGCGTAACCCTTTTGTATGTTCTATTTGGGTTTTTGTCAAAATTATTTTTTACGTGTATCAATTCTTTGATTTTTTCGTCAATGATTTGGTCCATACCTTTATTAATTCATCATCGTGTTGTCCTGGTTGAGATCATCATCGTGCTGTCCTTGGTGAGATCATCTTTTTGTTGTCTTCGTTGAGATCGTATTCTTGTTGTTCTCGTTGAGATCATCTTCATGTTGTATTTCAGGATCATATTGAACACTATTTCTTCCGGTGAGTGTTGTTTTTAAACCTCACTTCGCGCACTGTTTTGCTTGATGCAAGTTTTTCTTCTTTACTACGTTTTACTCAGTCAAAAGTCACTAGACCGTTCTTATGAATACGGTAGTTTTTGTACTTTTCTCATGTACACTATTGTTGGATTAGTGCAACATTTGTCTGGGTTGCACAAGCCATTTTCATGTTTCCAACGTGCTATTTTTTCGACCATATAGTCTTTTTCCGCTTGGGCTATTATTTCTGCCCAGAACTCCTTTGCTTCTGTGGGGGTCAATTTTTCTGCACTCATTTTTACTTCACTTTTTCGACACTATATGTTCAGTTTATTGATTGTTTTAAAGTCTCATTAATAGACGTAGCCTAGTAGCAGGTTGAGCCTACATGGATCGATCGAACAGACTTCCTTTGGAGAAGGGCTTTCTTTGATATGCGGTATCCAAACTATGGTAGACTCTAAACAGAGTATCTACCAGTGAGGACCGCAGTGTAAAGAGTTTGACTGCTGATCGATAATTGTCACGTATATTATGAAATATTTGGTTTATATAGCATTTACATGTTCTTGCTTATCCTAGTTAGTCTACATGTAAGAACGAGACGACTGGAGTGCCGATACCCAAAATATGTATCTTTGCCAGGTCTGCATTTTTGGTGACTTGGTGGTCCTACCCGACTGCGCAACATGACACCTTGCGTTGGCACTTCGGTATAGGCCTCACGCGGGGAGAGGAAAGTGGAAATGAAATAACTCTAACGCTGTGGCGCAATCGCCGCATATGGTTGCAATTGCATTCTATGTAATTTGAATCTATGAACTTTGTTCGGATTGAAGTTAATGACTTTGTTTGTTTACGATATGGTTATTGTCGTGGTTATTTGTAGGGATGCACATGACAAGATACACATACTTTACTAGCTCACAAAATGGGGTCATTGCTGTATAATTATTCTCTTTTTTCAGCCTTTATTCAGACTGGATCTATTGATTAAAATTATTTAAGTTTTCTTCCAGCTCTTCGATAACGGAACGTTATTAGATTTATACTGTAATGATTCACTCTTACAGCTTTCACCCTGGTTTTGTCTGTTGATTTGATTTGTTTGAATTGGTTTTCAGCTCTTTGGTGTTGGCAGTCGCGGGCGGTCAATTTTGCTCATGCTCATGCTCTGAGTTTATTTTCAGCTTTTCGATGATGGAACGTCGTCAGATTTATATTATAATGATCCACCATTTTGTTTAGGCTTCAGGCAAATCCAAGTATAATGCATGATATCACTGAATAATTTAAAACCATGGTCGCATCACTTATCAAGGTGAATCCTGATCCAACGAACCCAACTTACTAACAAAATCTCCTTTCCTGTGTCTTTTGTTGGGGTGCAGAGGTAAACACGGCCCACAAACAACAAAGGTTACTCTAATATTCCTTCCCTACTCCTACCTGATTGCAAGGACGTGGCCGGCGCCGTTATTGATCTACAAAATATGGAGTCACTGAAACTTGTACAATGAGAATGATTCATTGTACAATTTCACTGATTCTGATCAATCACGCAGTATCAACCATTGATATGTGCAGTCAGTCGAAGCTAAAACGCTGTCCAGACTGGAGAGTTATAACATGTTATAACGGTTGTCAAATAATTACAACACAGAAACCACCATCAATATAGCGCTATAACGTGTTATAACTCTGTAGTCTGAACGTACTATAAGCTAAGGTATAGCTAACTGGAACAATACAAAATATCACAAAATAACGATAACTTCAAAAACAATACAAAAATACAGCGATGGCAAAACAAAAACATTAAAACATACATAATGATGCCGGCGCCGGTGGTGTAGTGGTAAGCGTGACTGCTTTCTAACACCCCAATGGGTCTGGGTTCAATCCCAGCCGAGATCGGTGGGATTTTTCTGAGGCATAAAAATCTCTGGTCACGTCTTCCATCGAAAGAGAGGCAAAGCCGTTGGTCCCGGCCCATGTGTGTTGTGAATGGGTGCGATATCCTACACAGGTGTGGAAGCTGCCTTCCTGCACATTCGGTTGCCTTCAATGGATGGCAATCGATGTCCGTCGGTGATTGGCACTAGATTGCGGAACAGAGACCGACGTTAAATAAAGGAAAAGAAGATACATAATGATGTAGGCAACAGTAGCCGCTGTTTTCTTCGTGTGGATCACATTGCTAGCACTGCATCGATGGACGTTTGTTTTTAACACCTTCACAAATTTAAATGAATTAGAATCCGGTGCCAATGGTGCGATGCATTTTGGCAAATTGGCAAAAACCTTTGAATTTTTAAGTGTTGACCTTAAATAAGTAGTCCCACCAATTTTGATTCAAATCGGAGAGGGTCGATGCCATTCGATCGGTCATTTGAGAGGGAATGCGAATGACTCTTATTCTTATATGATATGGAGATCAAGAGAAGCTGATGCATAATGTTTAGAAAAGATTTTTTCAAATACCAGTTTTTGGTGTGTACAATTGGCGTCTTGCAGTGAAACTTTTCCAAGCTTTCGCCACCTACATTTCGAAGTGAGAACTACTAGAAGGAGGATAGTTTCCAAATTTTCCAAGTAAAACAGACGCTTTTTGGGGCAAATCGGTCCATAAAGAAAAACTAATAATTTCCCGTGGAAACTTTTGCTTCAATCGTGTAAGAAAACGTGTTTGAAAACTATTTGTTATTATTTCGGTATGGATCGGAGATGTTTTCATGGCAAACTATGCATAACAAGTTTGCACCCACAGGGAGAGGTTACCTCCTGCGCAGCTGCATTTTTCAGAAAATGGTAAATATGTGCGATTTTTACTAAGATGAAAGTGGAAATTAAGTGAATTTACTTAGGAAAGGTTGTATCATGCTGGTGGTAATGGATAATTGGTAGTATAGGATGAAAATATTCAATAAATGTTCATTTTGGCCTTTTTTAAGCAAACATATTGATACTCACAATTTTCGACGGAAAACGCACCGGAACTTGATTTACTCAACACGCACCATACTATAAAATGGTGCTAGATGGTCTTCAAAGTGATAACAAGATGACAAATCATGTTTATTTTGAGTAATTGAACAATTTACTTCTGTTTACCATCATATTTACGATGCAGCATTGATGGAGCCGTGAAATGAAATGAATATATCTTATGAAAGTTCACCTGGAAAAGTCAAAGATGCACATCAGTCTGATCGTAAAAACGTTTTCTTCTTCAATTCGAATGTTATATTGGAAGGATTTCACGCAGGCTTGATGAAAATTATGATTTAATGCTAATTTTCACGAATTTTATATGCAGTCTGTCAACACTATCATCATCATGCAGTGGCGACATCTGCGTTGAGCTTTTGCGGCAATCTTCCAATCTTTATTGATTTTTTCTAGTGCGCAAAGCAAGAATTACCTATACCTTATCATGTATACGTAGCAATCGCAGTGGTTGCAAAACAACAGAAAGAAGAGCCGCATTTAGGGCTTTTAAAACCTACATTGTGAGTTTAGTCAAAAAATGGTTATCAAAATGATATGATTGTGATTATGAGTGAACTAAACTCAAATTTGGGTTTTTCTCATTCACCGTGTGTATTGATTGGTTGAGCTCTGCAGGCAAAGCGTAATTCGAACCAGCCAGGTACATATTTTAGTCTTTGGCATCAATTGTTTTTTTCTCTGTCCAGATATTCGCACACACATGAAACATCCACGAACATTAAACGTTATCTTGGTTCTCTGCTGTTTACCCTGCCCTCATCCAACGTATAGTAACAGGACCGGTCTTGTGCTCTTATCATTTTTCAATTCCTTTTCGTCTTTACATGAGGTAGAAACCGGGCGAGAGTTTGTATTGCGCTAGTCACCATCGCATTCATTACAGCACTTATTCAACAATATGCTGCTTGTCAATTTATTCAAAATTAAATACTCTCTCTCGGCACCAGTTTCTTAATATCAAATTTATCGTTTTAAAATCATTTCCTTTAACCATGAGTAAACGAGTTGACACATAATTTTAGATCTTGATTGTATCATTTTAATGCAAATAGTAGGATATTTTTTCAGAGCAAAAATCTTGTTCTTGCTGTACCAACCCAACACGTCGAACGATCAACATGTTATTTTTTTTCCCAGAATCAGTTTATATGGTGCTTTTATGCATCGAAGACACTTATTCCAGAGCTGAGTTTTAAAGTGATCTATTAGGAGTTTGATTTGTTTGGTGTTTTCAATATCTAATTCCAGGTAAGCTTTTCTTGTTATTGTATAGTAATAATGTTAAGGCCGGCGCACAATAGATACGTTTTCGGGTTTTTTGACAGATAATGCCTGGGCTAACTGTCAAAAAACCTGAAAACGTATCTATTGTGCGCCGGCATTTACTGTATTAGCTGAATCACAACGAATATACGTTGTATCCGCGGGATCGTGTATACCTCGTACAATTTAACGTTCATTATGCTATGTTAAATTAGATGTTTAACGTTCATTATGCTATGTTAAATTAGACGATGTATACGATCCCTCGGATACAACGTATAGGGCAAACGCTCCTATAGTTGCCTAACGCTTCAAACGTACCGCAACAATAGGAGCGTTCATTCTATTATTTATGAGTCAGTACCATATACAGTAAATGTACTATTGATTAGTCGACACAATAGTACCATGTACAGTTAATGTACTATTGATTAGTCGACACGATGAAATCATAGAAATTTGTTTAATGTTTTCTACCTATTATGACGGAAATAGGCACATATGCCGAAGTAGTGTTTTACCCTATGCCTCATTACAAGCCCGACCAACCGTTCAGTGAACCCTACACGATTGGTTTTATTGACAATAATCGTATTGTCAATACATTCAATATTGACGTCAATACATCGGTATTGACAATATTTCTGCACTCACATCATCAATATTATTGTCAATAATTCCCCTTCGTGTCAATATATTGATACGTGTGGGGTTCGCTTTCGTGAAACTTCTTCAAAGTTCTTTATACAGAAATAAAGATTTATGTCGGCAATTCTTTACTTTAAATTTTCTATGATTTTTATGTACACATTTAAAAATCTTTATTGATCGATACTTACATTTAAGATTATTTCTTCATCGGTCATATGATAGTAATCTATAATGGTGCCATACTAAATTTCTTTTAATTTCGATATGTCACATGGACTTTAGTATTCTTTACAAATATTCATCAATAAATATTTAAATACTGATAGCTTGATCTTGAGCTTGAGCTTGATTGACCGCCCACGGTTGCTACTCTGTTACTGCCAGATCAGCTGTAATTACACAGAGAACCAATAGACGATGCTTGGGACTAGCAATCATCCTCAATGTGTAAAAACTGGTGATCTTAAATTAGGCAATAACAGCGCCGGCCGCGCCCGAACACAGGTCAAGAAAGGAATGGGAAGGATTGTGTTGACATGACACTCGCTTTGATGGAAGCCGAGAACACCTCTGCACTTCCACGAGGAATCACTGGGATGTTGGATAAGAGGGTTGGGTTTGCAGCAGGGTTCGTTTTGGTAAACGATAAGCTGAATTGATGTCCTAACGATCATATAACGCGAAGGAGCTTGGGACTAAACCCACGGTCTTCTGCTCAGTAAGCAAAAACGTTTGCCACTAGGCAGACGAGCACCTTTTTAATCACCGAGTTGCTGTTATTACCATGTAGTCATATTAACAAATAAAACGATTGACGAATCTTGAATGGGGATGGGCCTGAGATTAGACTCATGATGTTCTGCTCAGTAAGCAAAAACGGTTGCTCTAAGGCCACCGAGCCCCTCATATCACATAATACCGTTGCTCAAATTTGTGTATCCATTCAAACCCGGAACCAACGACAACAACGAGTTTCGCAAAATACACGATACACAAGCGATTTTACCATAAATCTCTTTGATATGTAAGGACCTGAGACCACGTTTTTCTGCTCAGTAAGCAGGCCACTGTAACCGACGATCTTTCAAATCCGAAAACTAAAAACTACGAAAAAGTACTTAGGCCTTCATTAAGTTCCACTTTCACGCGACGTTCAATGACAGGGTCCTATCCAGGATTACATCTGAAAAATCCAAATCTGGCCAACGCCCACCCTAAACCTAAACCTGTTCTAATCCACCTGAAATGACTAACGAATGGAAGACTTTGACTACCCAGCCATGCAATAGTCTCATTCCGTGCCTTATGGCAACTTGATGATTCTATTGCGCTCATCTTTTGGCACCACCCAGGGGAGACTTGGTCCTGTACCCAATGCTTAACTTATCTCCATTCCACTCAGCTACTCGCAATTTCTTGTGATATAGTGGGCGGAATATTATTATATGAGACAATTCAATGCAGACGTCTTTCCAAATTTGGCAGATCGAAAGGTAATCGGTGAGTTACCACGATAGTTGCTATTCAACAACTCGACAACGTCCCATCGTCAACGCCTGCTATGAGAATTTCCCATTGCAGACGCCAACGAAATGACGTCATCGAGCTATCGATCAACTACCCTGGTTATCGCCTGGTACCTTATAGCACGATGCTAGGAGGCGAACCGGAAGAATCGATGAGCTACCTCTCCCCCTCAATAAATATTTAAATACTGATATCATCGTAACTTTGAACTTTGACAAAGAACAACAAAGATTGCCATCGATGCACATTTATAATCTCCTTGTTATCGATTTGCATCGCTGGTTAAAGAGATTTCGAGACACACCAGGTGACAGATGGCAATGTTTATATTATTTATCGACATATTCGGCATTTCATCGGAAGAAGCAATCTGCCGGTAAATGAACGAGAAGACCGATGGCCCGTCTATATATTTAATAACCCGTGATAGCATGCGTGGTGCTAATTGTAATTAAAGAAAATAAATGATTCATGTTTTACTTATTTTTCTTCGACCTCGTCATTATTTGTAGCATTTAAGTACTTCTCCCAGAATTTTGATACCAAAATTAATAATGTCAAACTGGGGCCTGTTTTAAAGCCACGAAGACTTCAATGGGGAGGGGAGTCCAGCCACAGTATACGCTCGGTAAAAATATTTTAAAATTTTAGTAAAGTATACGAGGGGGGAGGTAGGATCTGCAATGTTTAAAACTTGGTCTACGTGGTTTATGGACGGCCCGCAGGTTGAACTGAATGTTGCACCCAGCTTGTAAGTTACTCATAGATTTCATTAGTCACAGCTGCTGTGACTCGATGGAGACGCATTGTGAGCTACCTTGCGCCTTCATCGTTTCCATGCACGTGTGGTGCATATATTGCGGAACAATATTTTTTTATTTAAAAAAATTGTATCTCCAAAACTGCTTCTCCGACATCGCTAATTTTTTGATAAGTGATGTAAAATTAAATGATCTTTCAATTAAAAATACTAAAATAAGAAGTTGTTGAAGACCCTCGCAGTGAAAATAAAGAAAAAGCATTTGTAACATATTTTTTTCCTACAAAATCAAATATCTCTGAGTGTTGAAAAAAAATGATTTTTTGGACCACCCTAACACGGAAATGGTCACCCTAATGGCGCAATAAAAAAATACGAGTCTAATATTTTTTGATAAGGAAGAACTATACCAATTTTCATGAAATTCTGAGACCCACTATAACTTTTTTCTATGGAATTGCTGTATATATATATATAAATCATCAATATGTACATACGTGGTTTGAAGAAATAATTTTTCATTTACAATGGATCATTGAAGATGCTGAGGTTTTGACAGCACCGTACTGTGGCTACCACAGTATTTTACATTGGTTCGTCCGTATACAGTAGCGCCAAATGAAAGCTGTGGTGGGTTCAAAACTCAGCCATCTAAAATGATCCATTGGTAGAAGATGTCTACAGCAGTTTCGACATTTACTTCATTCCTTAGAATTATTTGCCAATTGACACTGTTTAATTTATGTTTGATTTTTTCGTAGTCTGCTAATTTGTATTCAAAGAATTCCTCGTATTCGCAGTCGTTGGGTTTTTGGTATTCGTGCACAAATAAAAAATATTCAATTGCTGTGTGAAACGCTTCGTTTTTCCACAATGGGCTTAATGATCCGGGCACACAGAAATCTTCATAAATATTCGTAAGTAAGGAGTTTAAATATCAATTTTGTTGGTTCTTTTTTTTTATTTGATAAGGCACAATCGAATTAACTTTACAGAGCCGTGGATTCTTGGTTACTATACAAAGCATCTTAAAACTATAGTCAAAAGGTACAGCACAATAAACACTTTATCTTCCGCTATCCAAAAAGTCTCCTCCATCAGAACAGGAGCCGCTTCCTGTGGTTTCATTGTATGGAAGTATTGCTAACGGGGGTCAGAGCGCTTCCATTGCAGCAATGGACGCAAAACATGGTCAGCACTCATCGGTTGCTTTCCAAAGTCGACGACGCATCGACCGAAAGATCTGCTGATGAAGAACAATGACGAGGACCACACAATGGTTGCTGTCAAGAAATCAGACGATCGCGTTAGCGGCGCCGGTGGTGTAGTGGTAAGCGTGATTACCTCTCACCCCAGCAGGCCTGGGCACATATCTAGAGTGACTTGCTTATGTCAACAGCCGAGCTGTTGTTGTTGTTGTTGTTGTTGTCGTCGTCGTCGTCGTCGTCGTCGTCGTCGTCGTCGTCGTCGTCGTCACAGCACTGGGCTGGATAGGCACATACAAATTTAAAATATTCAAGTGTTTTGAGCACCAATACAATACCATTAATTTGCGATACAGGTGGCTCGAAATCTATTAATCTTTTCACTTCCATTACCATCACGGTAGTGATTGTTATTTACCAGCTTGTCCACATTGAATAATTCATAGAAAAACAGAAATAAACCGAAGCAACGACATTTCAAATAAATGGAAGATTTAGCATCTCCCTTATCTATAGCTGGCAACAAATAGCTTCATGGGAGAATAATGAATACTAGACCAACAATTGAAATAGGCGGAACAACCAAACGTAAATAATGGCTTTAAACGCAAATTCCTAGAGAATCAATGCACATCCAAGCTTTGCTAACACCATCATCTGATAGAACAAACTTCCTTTATCGAATGGCTTTGTTAGTTTACGTGGGAGTGTTTTGATTCTCGAGAATTTTCTGTTTAAAGCCATTGTTTACGTTTGGTTGTTCCGTCTATAACAATTGTTGGTCTAGAATAACAACCTACTCAGATAAGAGACAATCGCTGGAGGTAAGTACACATGACAAACACTTGAATGAGATGTAGCGAAAGCGATAAAGCAGATAACCATTTTTCGCTTTATTTTTCAAAAGCAATTCTCGTCATTTTCAGAAGAAGAAAAAACATCTTCCCTCAGTACCATATTTAACCTCTGTGCAAGCACCAATCGTGGTTTTTATTCACTTCTTTGCAGCATGTTTTCCGCAGTGTTGCGTTTGAGTTCCAGCCGTGGAGAACACATCACCAAAGGTTTCCGCTTGAATACGCTAAGAATGGCATCGACATATTTAGTGGAAAACAGCAAGTATTCCTTCCTAAAGGATCTCGGTCTTGGCAAGGTGAACAGCGGCGTGTTCAATGGCGAATGGACCGGAACAGGTGAGGTGGTCAAATCAATTGACCCAGCAAGTGGTGATGTAATCGCTGAAGTGAAGACCGGAACTGTTGCAGAGCTTGAAAAGTGTGTACAGGTCGGTACCGATGCGTACAATCAGTGGAAGAATCTACCTGCACCATTCCGAGGAGAAATCGTTCGTCAAATTGGCGATGAATTGCGAAAGTACAGAGAACCTCTCGGAAAACTTGTTTCATTAGAAATGGGCAAAATCACGGCCGAAGGCATTGGCGAGGTTCAAGAATTCGTGGACATCTGCGATTATGCCGTTGGTCTATCTAGAATGTTCGCCGGCCAGATTTTACCATCAGAAAGAGCTAAACATACTATCATTGAAAAATGGAACCCATTAGGGTTGGTAGGTGTTATTTCTGCATTTAATTTCCCATGTGCCGTATTTGGATGGAACGCGGCTATTGCCCTCGCAGTTGGCAATTCTGTTCTTTGGAAAGGAGCACCAAGCACACCATTAGTGTCAATCGCTACTACTAAAATTGTAACAGATGTATTGAAACGGAACAATCTACCACCAGTAGTTACCCTATGTCAAGGAGGTACCGACGTTGGCAAGAAAATGGTATCTGACAACCGTGTAAAACTACTCTCATTCACTGGCAGCACTGCAGTTGGTCGTGAAGTGGGCATAGAAGTACAACGACGATTCGGCAAGTTCTTACTCGAGCTTGGCGGCAACAATGCCCTTCTCATTAATGATGATGCTCCGACTGATATGGCACTGGACGCTGCATTCTTTGGATGCATTGGAACCGCAGGTCAACGATGTACTAGTACTCGCCGACTAATTATCCACGAGAAACTATACGACGAATTCGTAGCTAAGCTAGTGAAGCGTTACAATAATCTGCTCAAGCGAGTTGGTCATCCATTGGAAGAATCAACATTATATGGACCACTTCACAACCAACAAGCGGTAGATAATTATAAGAAAACACTCGAAGAGGCTGTTAAACTGGGGGGTAAAATGGAATGTGGAGGCAAAGTTATCGATCGTCCAGGATTTTTCGTTGAGCCAACTATTATCACCAACCTCCCGCACGATTCCCCGATTGTACATAAGGAAACATTTGCCCCTATTGTGTACATCCTAAAGACGAAAAACCTGAATGAAGCGATCGAATGGAACAATGAAGTAGACCATGGACTGTCGTCGTCGCTGTTTACATCAAACATTGGATCTGCATTCCAGGTAAGCACATTTTGTAACATTTCGTCACTATTGTGTTTCCTGGCTTATAACGAATATACGTTGTATCTGTGGGATCAAACACCTCGTCTAATTTAACGTTCATTAAGCTATGTTAAATTATACGAGAATTTGTCCGAGGATTTCCACCGGTTGCTACTAGTCTTAGAGTTACTTCTATGATATTATATGCTAGTGCGCCACGTACTTCAGTGTAAGCATCGAAACCCAGCTCTGGTGGGAATTTTTCACGGATGACTCGCTTAACTTTACCGTATTTCTCCGGCACCAACGGTAGGTCTTTATCAGGAACTTCAGGTGGCAGCCACTGACACTTAGTACAACGGAAATTTGGCATAATCGATATGATTGGACATATTGCTGAAACCAACAGTTAATTTACAATATATACAATACAATACATAATGAGAAGGGAATACTCCCATCTTTATTACGTAGGAAACGAAGGAAAAAATTTCACAAGTTACTAAAACAACAATTCTATGGGATAGCAAAAATGAAAAGAAGGAGTAATCCGAGGAGTCATCCAAGGTTCTAAATTACCTTTTAGCACAGACAAACAGACATACCACATTGAATATTTCTCATTGTAAAACATCGTCGCTAAAACATTATCGCCATATGTTGAGTACACTGTGGTGGGTAGTACGCTGAACAGATAGTGGTAGTGTTTAAACGTCAAACACAAGGGAATTAACTATGCGCGCCACAGGTGACAGTACTACCAACTGAGATACTTTTAAATTGACCGTTAAATGCTTGTTCGATGAACAACTTGTGAGTGTTATGTCTGTTTCATTGTCGATTCGTAAAGATTATGCTAAATGTCCGTTATACCAAGTGTCATTATGCCAAATTTACCAGATCCATTTTTTCAATACCTGCAATATTCCGTTTTATACATAATCGGATTAGGAGGGTTGAATGTGAATATAAAAAAAATATTTATCCAAGATTTCCCGATGTGCAATTTCTGTACTGCCGGTATACGCAAAAGATGTTGGTGGGGGCGATATTTATATACGCCACCACTGCGACACCGACGATGAGTCGACAAACCAGTCGACGAACGAGAGAGAGGAGAAAGAGTAAGTAAAGAACAGAAACGATTTTCAGTTACTTTTGTACCGACCGCGAATAAAGATGTTTTCGTACCGAGCTCCGTGTTGCGTTTTTTTTTTCTGGCCTCGTTACGCGTTCACCCGAGTTTCTGCCTTGTGTCGGGTTCTTTCCGCTGTGATAACCTGCTGGTCGATCCCGTTTTCCCACAGGTTATGGGCCCAGGTGAGGCTGAAGAAAAGTGGTAGTGCGATTTTCCCCCGGAACTGAACATTTTCTGCGAAGTGAAAATTCGACGTGGGGAAGCGGAGCGTTGAGTCGGTGGCGTTGGTTTCGATAGCGTCAGTGGCGTACGGTTGGTTGCCTGTGTGCGTGTGTTGCTCGGTCGTGAGACGGGTGGACAGCAGCAGCGAGAGTGAATTCGCGTGCGTTGGTTGAGGTTATAAACGAACGTGTTCGATCGTGTCGTGTTTTGAAGAAAAAACAGTTTTTCGTCAGTGAGTTCGAGCAAAATCGAAAATGGCTGAGAAACATGTATTTCCACGCCTCAATAACCAGAATTACTCGACGTGGCAACTGCGGATGGAGATGCTGTTAAAGCGGGATGAATTGTGGTTCGCGGTGCATGACGCGAAGCCGACACCAGTCACTCCCGTTTGGACGACAGTAGACCAAAAGGCGTTGGCTAACATCGTGTTGTTTTGTGAGGATAGCCAGCTAAATTTGATCAAGAACGCCAAATCGGCCAAGGATGCGTGGGCCGTGCTGAAGAAGTTTCACAACAAAGCCACGATGACATCCCGTGTGTCGCTGCTCAGAAGGATCTGTAGCCTGAACATGACGGAAGGAGGAAACGTGGAGGAGCACCTCTTCGAGCTGCAGGAGTTATTTGACCGACTGAAGTGCGCCGGTCAGAAGCTGGAAACACCACTGAAAGTAGCGATGATTTATCGCAGCCTCCCGGAATCATATGGCGGATTGGTGACGGCGATGGAAAGCCGTCCGGACGCAGATCAGACGATCGAATTCGTCAAACAGCGGCTGGTCGACGAGTATTTGCGCAGAGTGGAGCGTTCCGGTGAGTGTAGTGAAACTGCGATGAAGCTGCAAAGCAAAGGGCGGAAGGAGAAGAAGTGCTACAATTGCGGTAAGCCCGGTCACTTTCGTCGTGATTGCCGGTTGTTGCAGCAGGATAAGAAAAAAGAAGAAGATTCCAGAAGTGACAAGAAGAGAAGTGCGCGTAAAGCCAAACAGGCTGTCGAAACGGAAAGCCCGATTTGCTTCACGGTTGGAAGCAATCGGTGCAGCGGTTCATGGTACGTGGACAGTGGCAGTTCGAGCCACATGACGAACGAGAAAGCCTTTTTTCGGAACTGAATGAAAATGTGAAGATCGATGTTGTGTTGGCCGATGGATCTGTGACCAGATCGGCCGGAATCGGCGAAGGTGTTGTGAAGTGTGTTGACAATGACGGCCGCGTGAGAGACATTACCTTTCAAGATGTGTTGTACATGCCGAACCTGGACAGTAGTTTGTTGTCGGTTCGGAAGTTAACACAAAAGGGACTGAAGGTGGAATTCGGCGCGTCAAGGTGCACAGTGGTGAATATGGAAAGAGAAGTGGTTGCAGTGGCAGTTCTTAGTGGAAACCTGTACGAGCTGAGCGTGGCACAGGATGCACGGCTGAGCAAGGAGGTTCGGCATTCGGAAAGCTGCCAGCACACCTGGCACCGGCGGTTTGGACACCACGACCCTGCGGTGCTGCAGCGCATCCAAGCGGAGGAACTCAGCGATGGCTTCCAGGTGACAGACTGTGGAATTAGGCAAGTCTGTGAACGCTGCCTGCAAGGTAAACTTTCTCGTATTCCCTTTCCCAAAATGAGTAGCAACAGAGTAGGTCGCATTCTGGATCTGGTACACACAGATGTGTGCGGTCCTATGAAGTCGGTCACACCCGGAGGTTGTCGTTATTTGATGACCATAATTGATGACTTCAGTCGCTATACGGTGGTCTGTCTTTTAAGGCAAAAGTCTGAGGCAGCCGGGTGCATCAAGAGATTTGTGGCACATGCGAGGACAAAATTCGGAAGAGCGCCTTGCGTCATTAGATCCGACGGCGGAGGCGAATATGTGAACCAAGAGCTTAACGAGTTCTATGCCTCGGAGGGAATTCAAGCTCAGTACACGGCTGCCTACTCCCCGCAGCAGAACGGAGTTGCGGAGCGGAAGAACCGCAGCCTCCAGGAAATGGCAACCTGCATGTTGCTCGACGCAGGTCTCAGGAAGCAGTACTGGGGGGAGGCAGTGATGACTGCCGGTTAATCCAGAATCGTATGCCGTCACGATCTGTGGACAAAACGCCGTTCGAGAGATGGATCGGACGGAAGCCATCGCTGAAGCATTTTCGAGTGTTCGGGAGTGCTGCATATGTGCACATCCCGGACGTTAAACGTAGTAAATTGGACGCTAAAGCTCAGAAACTGTTATTCGTAGGATACTGCGAAGACCGTAAGGCTTATAGATTCCTCGATCCGGAGACCAACAAGATTACCATAAGCCGAGACGCTCGTTTTGTGGAGCTGCAGAATGGTTCCATGATGATGGATCGTCGGTATGGCAAGCAGGATGAAGATTGTGTGGTGCTCGACTGGGGAATGAACGATGCCAAGGTTCAGGAGGAGCAGGATGAACAGCAGCAGATTCAGGAGGAGAATTCGGAGTCCGAAGAAGAATTTTACGGTTTCGAAACCGAGGAAGAAGATCCCGTCGGCCGAGCCGTTCAAGATCAAACAGTTCGGAGCACAAGAGGCGTACTTCCGAAGCATCTGCGAGATTATGTGGTGGACGTAGCCATGGCTGTCGAGCAAGAACCTGTGAGCTACGAGGACGCAATCGGGAGCTCTGAGCAAATGTTGTGGAAGGTTGCTATGAAGGAGGAGTTCGACTCGCTCATCCAAAACGGGACCTGGAAACTTGTGGAGCTGCCCGCTGGACGAGAACCAATAGGCTGCAAATGTGTTTTTAAAAGGAAGGAAGACAGCGTTGGCAATGTAACCCGTTTTAAGGCACGCTTAGTGGCGCAGGGGTTTTCACAACGCCCTGGTATAGACTACGACACAGTTTTCGCGCCAGTGGCTTCGCAGAATACCTTGCGGGTTCTGCTTACCGTAGCGGGACATCATCGGATGAGCGTGCATCATATTGACGTAAAGTCAGCGTATCTTCACGGGCGGTTGCAGGAAGATATATACATGCAGCAACCAAAAGGATTCGTGCAGTCAGGCAAGGAGAATCTGGTCTGCAAGCTAGAGCGCAGTCTTTATGGGTTGAAGCAAGCGGCCAAAGTGTGGAATGAAACTATCAGCGCAATATTGAAGGAGTTGGGGTTTGAACAGTCACAGGCGGACCCATGTTTGTATGTCAAGGCTTTGAGAAGGTACGAGTCTATTTATTAATATATGTGGATGATATGCTGCTTGCGAGCACCGATGTCAACGAAATGAAGCAAACCGAGAAGGAACTAGCGAATAGGATGAAGCTTTCATCTCTAGGAGAAATCTCGTTCTTCTTGGGGATACGCGTCACCAAGGACGGTGAAGGATATTATAATCTGGATCAGGAGGTGTATGTGAAGAAGGTTGCAAACCGATACGGACTTAGCGAAGCAAAAGGATCAAAACTACCGCTGGATGTTGGCTATTATCAAAGCCGGAAAGACAGCAAGAGTTTGCCGGACAATAAGCGCTACCATAGCCTGGTTGGAGCGCTGCTCTACGTCTCGTTGAACACTCGGCAGGACATCGCAGCGAGCGTAGCGATTTTGGGAAGGTGTGTTAGCAGTCCGGTAGAAGCTGATTGGACTGAACTGAAGCGCGTCGTTCGATACCTTATGAGTACAAATTGCTATAAACTGAAGTTGTCGAC